CTACAGTTTCTGTATAAACAAATTCGCTCCCATGACAACGGGCGTTAAATATCCAAGCGGATCGTATAAACTTACAGTGTCTTGTACGACCTTTCGTTTCGTAATTACCGACTTGTTTTGTATACGTGCACTGTCTTTCTTATTGTAGGTAATTTGATCGGTATTAACGAGCCAGCGAATTCCAAGAACATTAACATTGTTGTCGGGATTCAAAGTTCCGTCACTGGCCGAAACAGCGCGAAGTTTTTCTGAGTTGGATGACCACGATCGTAGGTTGAATCCACCCGATTTCATTAAGCTGTTTGCCTCATTGTAATAATCCAGCGCTTCGGCTTGGGTAGTGGTTCCACTAACAATGTTGTCAACGTATATATTTTCTTCGAGATCGGATGAAGTATGAATTGATGCGTTGGATTCTAAATGTGTTTTCACAACTGCATTTAAAATAAACGGTGAACACACTGCGCCAAATAACACTACCTTGAAGCGATAAACTTTCAAAGCGCTTTCTACATCGGATGGGTTGGACAACCAAAGGAATTTGGTGAATTCGCGATCTTCTTTGTTGAGTCGAATATTCAGAAACGCCTTTTCGATGTCACTTGTCAGTGCGATATCATTAAGTCGAAATCTGAGAAGTATTGCGGACAGATCATTGAGTAGAGGTGGTCCGGTTTGCAAACAGTCGTTAAGACTGGGTGCATCGATTGACTGTCGACAGCTGCAATCGTAAACGATTCTAATGGGCGTTGTCTTCGAATCTTTTTTGACTGAACGATGGGGCAAGTAATGTCCGTATGAATTGTCATCGTCAATCACTTCTTCTATGAAGTCACGCATTTTCTGATCTTCGATTAATTTATTATAAGTTTGCAGCAGATCGGGTGGTAGACGGCGTACCATTGCAGTGTTCTTTTTTCTGCAATACGATAGTTGGTCGGTAGCGGTGGGTGTTCTGGTTTCCAGGGGAGGCGAGCAGTATAGCGGCCGTCTTCTTTCATGAGATGAGTGTCGCGATAACGTTCAAAATCGGTTTCCTTGGAAATGGGTTGGGGCGCTCTTTAACACCAATGCTTTCTAAGTCCCAGAAACGTTGTAGAGTGTTTTCTTCTTCAATGGAGTTCGTAGCTATGTGTAGAATTGTGGCGTCAATGGCGTGATCGTTTGTTTGTCGGGAATCAGTCGGTCCAGAAAGTAAATACCCGAGTTTTGACGAGACAACAGTGGGGCCTGGTCCGCGTAGTATGTGGTCTCCAACTATATCCCAATAATAGTCCGCGCCAATTAAGATGGACTTTTCAAACGAGTCAACTTCTGATGCAGGATGGGCGAACTTGAGATTACGAAGATAGGGTAAATCGTGTAAGGATCGATTTACTAGGTTTTTCGTAGGTGTAGAAATCTGTGGTATCGTTAGAGCGGAAATGTTCATTTTTTGACCATTAATCGTGTGTAACGCAAAAGTAGACACATCAAACCATCGAGTACGTGAATTGGTGTCTCCAAAAGTACTTAAGTTGGTTGCTTTTTGCCTGTCTGGTTTCAAGTTCAACTTTGGGTAAATCGTCGAGTCACAAACGAGCGGGTAGCGCAGCGCCTTCATCAAAGAGAATTACTGCTGTAGCCATTTCTGATCCGGCTGACACTTCGGCGACGGCAGTCTTCAGTAGTACTGGTCCTTTGAAGGGATTAGCGGTTGCTGTAAAATTATACTTATACTTTATAAAACACGTAAAATTCCCCAGGAGGAATTAAAATGGTTACATTTACACTAAACAAAACTAGAATAATACAAAACATTAAGACTAAAGTAATCATGGTTAAATAATAATAATAATAATAATCGAAATAAAAAAAAATAAAAAAAAACTTAAAAAAAAACATGAATAGTAATAAATCCCACTAACAGCAATAATAAAGGTAGAAGAAACCATTGTTAAAAAAGTAATAACAATAATGATGCGTTAATGCATTAAGGGTTACACATTTTGGGGGTGTTGCTGTCTTAAGTCGAGGGCAGTTTTAATGAATTGTCCGAGTGTGATATGAAATGAGGTAAAATTATAACTCATTGTCAGTGCAAATTGTTCATTAATTGTAAAATTATTAATTTGTTTCTTACATTTCTCAAATATTAATTTTCTTTGGTCATTGTAAAATGGACAAGTCATGATGAAATGTTGTTAGTCTTCTATTTGTTTTTTTGTGCAAAGTTCACATACTCTTTCTTTTACATGTGTTTTTGGTTTGGACTGTCGTCCTGTCTCTATTTTAAATTGTGGTTGCTTAGTCGAAATTTACATAATGCTTGTCTTAGTTCAACATTTTTCAGTGATATCAAATAGTTTTCTAAATAAATTCAAATTTATTTTTAAATTTTCTGTATGTTCTCAATTTATTACCCTCTCGATCATTATTCAATTCTTCTTTCCAGTACTGTTTAAATTGTTTTTCCAAATGTATTTGTACATTTTTGTTTTCAGCAGTTGTTGTTATTCTGTTCAAATTAATTTTGTCACTTTCATTGATGTTTTTTAATTGTGTCGTTATTGCGAT